GCTCTCGGGCGCTCCGGACGCCGAGCGGCCGCGAGAAACCGGCCTTGTTCGCCTCACTTTGGACGTTGGGCAGCCCCCGGAAACGTCTGAGTGATGCCCCGAATCTTGTAGCTTCCCTCCTGGTCCTCAAGCAGCCTCGGGAAATGTCTAAATGATGCCCCCAGTCTGCAGTTTCCCTCTAGCCCTCCTGCCTTTCCAGGGGCCCCAGGACGTCCGGGCAGGATTGTGGCCCGTTTGGCCATGAAACCTGACTGATAGTCAAAATGAACACGTTTGAAAAGTTTTACCTGGAGGCAAATGGGATAGTTCAGCCAAAGTGGGGGAATGAAGAGGCTAAGGGGAGGTTTTCATGGAGCAGGTCAGCAGTACAGTGACCAGGGAGTCATTTTGGTGAGGGACACGCCCGGGACGCGTCCCCCAGCCCTCCACGGGGCTCTGCCGATCCGTCACCCACAGCACCTCCCCGCCTATCTCGTAGGCGAAGTATACAGTACACTTCGTAGGCGAAGTGTAACCAGTGTGCCGTCTCCCCTGAGGTGACTGGCCTTCTACCTAGCAGGGGGGCCTAGGAGACAGCACTGAGTTTATGGCAGACGCCTAATGGAGCTCCCTCCAGGCACTTAAAGTACGGTAATTCCCTTCCAGCTGCCAGATTTCCTCAGTGTACAATGCTTTCCCTCCCACTCCCCTCCACGGAGCCCAGGGGGCAGGTGCTGCGCTCTCTCACAGGAGGAGATGGCCGATGTTTGCAGAGACAGCGAGGAAGCGAGGCAGCAAGCACCGCGTATTGGGGCGGAGGGGCTTCAGGAGCGACCTCACCTTCTTGTGGCCGGAGCAAACCTCACTTTCCTCCGGAGCAAAGCAGGATGGAGCAGAAATAACAACGCTCAGACAGGCAGCACAGACATCATTTCACGTATTTATTTAATAGGCTTTGAGAGCTACACGTGTTCTGTTGTTGTCATCACCCTGCCACTGTAACTCCTTTGGTCGACAGAGCAAGGCTCACTGTTCTCTACACCTTTCAGCCTCAAGATCACCACCTCCATATTGCTTCGCTCCCTAGCACCCTGACTTCTTACCTCCCTTTGCCTTTATACAGCTGTAGCTCCTTATCAGTCTCTCCCACCCACGCTCCCAGCCCACTGCAGATAAGGCCGAGTTTATCTTCCCACCGCACCTTCCCCGTCTTCGCACTTCAGTACCGGGGAGCCAGATTTCCAAGAAAAAAGAAAGCAGAACACGCGGGTTGCGTTTTGGGTTTTTTGGGGGGGTTGGTGGTTTTGGGGTTGTTGTTG